TTAAAAATCCCAGCTTCTTACCAGCTCAAGATAGATTCCCATGGAAACCAGCATAAGGGAGGAGAGGCAAAGATAAATACCTTTCTTTCAGGCCCCGGATGCATGTTAATTGGCCTCCTCCCTCCCGCCTCTGTGGTACAAATGCAGGAAAAAGCCTGTTGAGATGGTGGGTCCATTGTCTTGTCTCCTTGGGGGCCTAGACAGTAAATGCCTGAGAGCCCTGTTTCTATGAGGGCTTCCCCTAGAAGTACTCATGCTGTCACCACGTGGGCAACACAGGGCTCATAGGAGCAGGTCCTAAAATCAGAGAGGCCTAAGTTCTGTGGTAGGACTTGCATGTGGGGTGACCCTGGGCAAGGCACCCAAACTCTCTGAGCCTCAATTTCCCTGTCTTTTACATGGATTTAATGGTGTTGCCTCACAAGGGGTAGTTAAGAGAATTAAGAAAGACAATAATATAAAATATTTAGCACAGAACCTGGCATCCAATAAGCACATTGTAAATGGTAACCATGTTTACCATTATCTAGCTGTTAGGTCAAGTCAGCCCCTTCACCCCCACAGGGCTCGGTTTCCTCATCGGTAAACCAGTGAGGTGGGGAGGAGCTAGGACAATTCGATCCTGGAAAATCCCTTCCAGATCTGGCATCTTATGGTTCTGTGTCCATGTTATTGGTGAAGGAGCAAGGAGAACGTGGTATAGAGCTCTAAAACATGTGCTCTTTTGGAATTCCTAGATCCCACTCTCCCAGGAGACAAGTTCCTTCTGGATGAGATCCAGGAAAGGGAAAGTAGCACTCGGCCTCCATTGCTCAGTAGCTGACTTTACTAAGCCTCAGTTCCCATATCTGTCAGATGGCACGACTTTATAGGGTTGTCGTGAGGATTTTCTGAGCTTCCTCTCATCAGGGGCTTAGCACAGTGCCTGGGCACAGTGAGTAGTCCGATCAGTGCTGGATGGTAATGTTACAGAATCCAGAATTAGCAGGTTTACCCTGCAAAGCTGTTGAGTCACCCCGTCAGCCCCGCAGGTGGCTGGGAGGGTGGGGTCTGTATCCTCAGGAGACCATCCACCAGCTCCAGCACCATCCAGGAGCATGCAGTCCACCAAGGGGGCCTCCCCCAGCCTGGGGCTGCAGGCCCACAGGAGCCGGGGAGGAGGACCTCTCTTACCAGGCCAAGGTTCAGAGTGTTGTTGTCATCTTCTGGCATGGGCAGGTACACAGCCAGGGCCACACAGTTGGCAAAGATGGTGAGCAAGATGATTGTCTCGAAGGGTCTGGTGTCAGGGTTAAGGAGACCCCTTGAGTGAGGGATTGTGGGATTGGCCCCTTTAAGGGAGTGGTACAATACAGGCTGATGGGCACCATGTTGCTCCTTCCCTGCTCTCCTGCAGGTTATAGAAATGGCCAGGTTCTCCTCAGGAACAGGTAACTTCCACCTAGACGTGATGGGAGCTCGAGGCTCTGGCTCCTGGCGGAGGGCTACTCAGCTTCAAGGGCCAGGAAGACTTAATGCTCCACAGCAAACACCTGCCCATCCCCCAACCCTACCTGCCTGGCTCCTGAGGAGCCGTGACTTTCTGAGATTCTCGCCAGACAACTTGGGGGGCTCACTCAGAGAACTGGCAAGGGATGCTGGGGGCTGAGTATCTGCGGGACAGGCCCGGGAAAGGGGAAACTGCAGAGGCGGTACCTGAACACCCCCCTAACCTGAGGAAGGAATGGATAAGCCGACTGAGTCAGCAGCCCACCCCGCGCCCTCCCCAGCCACGCTCACACGCTGGCGTGCGCATCCCGCACCCACTCACGCCTCGCTCCCAGGCACACCCACCCCCTTCACAGTCATTTCCCAGGGGGCACCCCCAGGCCCATTCCTTTATGGGTGAGCAGCCCAATCCACCCCATAGGCTGAGCCACTGGAAAGCCGGTGGTGGAGGTGGAGACAGGTTGGTGGGGGGGGAACGCCCACTATGCAGAAGGTCTGGACTGACTACCCCCTTTTCTTGCTGCTGGGGTTTGAGAAGAGGTGGGCCCCAGCGGCAGAGGCCTGCAGGGGATGGTGGAGAGAGAACCCACCCCAGGGAAACCCGATCCCTCAGGAGACAGGCCAGGAGGAAGAGGCAGGGGGCACTCCGTGTCACCAGGTGCAGCTGTGGGCAGCAGGGCCGACTCTGACCCCGGCCATTCCAATTGGTCCCATGTTTTTCTTATCCTTCCTATTAGCCCTTATTCCCCTTTCTTCTAGGGAACAGCTGGTGGGAGCCCAGTCTTCCAGAACCCCACAGAAATATTTCAAATATTCCTGACCTCTCTCTCAGAAGGCACTTGACACAGCCGCTCCCCCCAGTCTCCTTCCTCCCTTCCCCAAATAACCCAGATATTTTCATCATTCTTCCCCTCAGAGCTAATGCAAACAGAGAGAGGGATTGCAAGTCCCTGTCCCCAGGGTGGTATGTCTGAGCTAAAACGGCCAGGCATCTCGGCCTGCCCCCAGAGCCCCTCACAGCAGCCCTTTGTTCAAGGCCATTTCTCCCTTGACTCCATCTTCAGCTGGACTCCCCTCACTCGGCAATCTCTTTGCCTTCATACCCTCCCACCAAGGGGGGGGAGTGGAATTTTCTTGCAGAGGCCCCTGCTTTTGTCTCTCCCATCCTGTATCAAAATGAGACCGTCGCCTCAAACCCCTCAGTGAAGCCCCACGATAATGGGATTTGGGCACACCTGCAAACCGCCCCTGTGAGCCATCCGGGCCCCTTCCGCAGAGGGTTGTCACCAGGCCTTGGGCCGAGCACTCAGGCCACAGCGGCCCCACCAGCTACTCTTTCCTCTCAGCCGAAGCCTTCCTTCCCAAAGGCTCCTTACACCCTCCTAGGGCAGTTCACCCCGTCTCCAAGTCCCCAGGCCCCTTGGCCCCCCAAAGTCTGTGATCTGTGACCGTGCTGTGCCTCCCTCTCCCATATCACACGGGCTCTGCCTGACACCCTGGAGGTCCCAAAGGATACTTCCATTCCACGATGTCGATGCAGGCCTTCCTCAGAGGGTTCTGGAGGGTCAAGCAGAACAAGGCCCGGGGTGGCCTTGGCAGAATCTCAGGAACGGGCTTCTTCGGCTGTTTCTTCCTCAGGCCCTCATCCTGGGGTGAGGACGGCTCCATGGCTTTCCTGGTGGTCTCGCTGTCTCCTGCTCCCCCACCCTGCTGCTCCCTCCTCCCTGCGTCCCCAGTGCCCCCCGCCTTGGGGACTGGACCGGCTGAGCCTGCTGGGCCAAGTGTGTCCTGCTGAGCCAGCCAGGGGGCGGGGGCAGGAGGATTACTCTCCCTGCTCCCAGCAAGTAAAATTAGCCTCCACTGGCTCCCTGCTTGCCTGGCCTGAGCTCCTGAGGCCAGGCAGCTGTCATTCCTTCCCAGCCCAGCCAGTGACATCCCAATATGTCCCTGAGGAGGTTGGTAGGGGGTGGCGGAAGGAACTTTCACACGGGCCTGGGATGGGGTCAGTGGGAGACAGGATGGAAGACTTCAAGCCTTGGGCAATAGAGCTGAATAGAGTTCAGGAAGGGGGTAACCTATGATATGGAGCCTCAAACTGCAGACGGGCTCCCTTGTGCCAAGATGAGCTTCCCCCCGCTCCCAACCCCATGGCACCCTCCTGAAAAGGTCCTGGGTGGCCTAGTTCGGCACATCTACACCACAGCCCCGTCCATCTCAGAACCTGCGGCTAGTTATCAGGCCAGACCTCGCCACCACATGCACACCCCCTGTCGGGGAAGGCTAACTCCTCCACACCGGGGTGAAAGGCTCCCTCAGAAGAACCTCGAACGTGCATACTTCAGGCACGGCGTGTAGTGACTGTGTGCTTTGTACCCTCCTCCCTCCACCCCTCCAGCGCCTAACTGTACAAGGGTTGTGTCTCCTGCCTGGGACTCTGGCCCCTCCCTGACACTGTCCCTGGCATACACTAAGCTCTCTGTAAATGTTAGTGGAATGCAGAGCTAACAGAACACCCCTGACATGGCACCCAGTACGTGTTCCGAGCTGCAGGTGGGAGTGACAAAGGGGCACTAGTGAAGTGAGGTAGACAACCATCTGGAATCACACAACTCAACAAATCTTTTATTTAGCTTCTTGGTACAAACACAGCGCCATATGGTCCCATTGCCCACAGAGGGATACAGTCTGAGGGGGAAAAACGCAGTCCTCAAGCAACCTGGGGGGAAAAGGATGAAAAGGCCACACTGGGGGGTCGGGGTGGGGGTGGGTAACCGCCCTCCATGGAGGAAGCCAGAGTGCGCCACCAAGGCACGCACATGGCCTCTTCCCAAGTCTGATCTGGGCGGAGTGTAAGCAGCAGTCTGGCCTCCTGTCTCTGCATCTGGCTTCCTTCCGGGGTGGGTGGGGTCGGGTGGGAGGCGGGGTGGCAAGCAAGCTCCCAAAGTGGACGCTAGGATTTGAGGCCATCTCGTGGGCAGCAAGGGCATGGCTCATCCCAACCAAAGACGGGCCGGCCTCCTGGGGAGTCGCAGACACAGGGCTGCACCCATGGCGACGGAGGTCGAGGTCGGAGAGGGCCCCCACAGCGGGTAGTGCACAACCGGGAGCTGAGCTCTGACTTTCCGCAGCGCGGGGCTGAAGCCGAGCGGGAGGCCGACCCAAGGGATGGCCGTGCTGGGTTACCCTCCTGCGGCCTGGAGCGGGCGCGGCGCGCACCCCGAACTTCCCCAGGCCCCTGCGCCCTCACTGCACCGACGGGGCTCCTCCGGTCTCTGTGGTGCCCCTCTCTCCCCACCTCCCCGCACCTCTGCCCCAAGCTGGAAGGAATGAGGTCGGTGGTGGCGGTGGCGGTGGCGGAGGGACGGCGTCGCAGACACCCGAGCGCCGCGGACCCGCAAACGCCAGGGGCCTGCGCCGCGCCCCGGGTGACCCGGCAGTCCCCCGGCTGCTGTCGGGAGTGGGACGGCCCTGGCGGGTCCCCCCACCACCACCACCACCAGCCCCGGTCCCGATCAGTGGCTGGATTCTTCCGACTCAAAGAACGGCGAGGAGGAGAAGCAGGAGGACTCGGACGACTCGGGCACCAGGGAGACGGGCGCCCGGGTCTCGCCGTCGCCGCGGCAGTCGGGCGGGGAGGCGGCGGGCGGCGCGCCGTCGGGGGCCGCGCTCAGCAGCTCCTGCAGGTACTTGATGTAGCGGATGGCGGCGCGCAGGGTCTCCACCTTGCTGAGCCGCTTCTCGGCCAGCGCGCCCGGGAGGTGGCCGCGGAGGCGCGCGTAGCCCTCGTTGACGCACTTGACCCGCTGCCGCTCGCGCTCGTTGCGCTTCTGGATGAAGGCGGGCTCGAAGGGGTAGTCGTACACCCCGAAGGCACCGGGGAAGGGCACGTAGGGGAACACGCCCGCGTAGGCATCGTAGTACTGCGGCTCGGCCGGGCCCGGGTACAGCAGCAAGGGCACGTTGCCCAGGGGCTCGGCGGGGGGCAAGGGCGCCCGGCGCGGAGCCGGCACGACGCCCAGCTGCATGCAGCTGGGGGACGCCAGGGGCCGCCGGTCCACCAGGGCCCGGCAGAAGTTATTGTTCATGGTGCTGCGTGGAGCTGCACCCAGAGGCAGACCCTCCCCGAATCGCCCCTGCCTGGGCTCTGCGCGGTCCCGACCACAGGGACGAGTCACATCGCCAGCAGCAGCCCCGGGGTACCAGGATGGGTTAGGGCTCCTCTTCGCCCTCTGGGGTGGCCTCCGAGATCTCCCTGACAGGAGTCATTGCTGTGGCCTTAGTGTGGCTCCTGGCAGAGGCTCAGCAGTTCCCTCTCCGGTCCAGCCGTGGCGCCGCAGAACTCCGGGGACCCCGGCCTTCTTCCGTGGCGCCCATGGGCGGGGCAGCAGGCCTCGGCACCCCGGCTCCTCCTGAGCCCAGCATGGGCACCTCCCACGGGCACTAACCCTGGGACTTCATACTTGGGGCCAGAGGTGCCCGGTTCTTGTTCCTCGCGGCCTTGGGGATCCCCCAGCCGCCAGGGGCCTCACAACCGCGGCTGTTGTGAGAAGTGTGCCCGCTCAGCTCAGGGAAATGTTTCTAAAGAAGAGGAGAGTGAACATATCAATTAGGAATTGTATTATGGGCTCTTCTGTGTCACAACCCCCCCCCCCAAGGGGATCGTAAGCGTCCGGAGCTGAGGCAGTGTGGCTGCTGAGGAGGAGGAGGGTAGGGGCAGAGCTGGGTTCAAACCTGTGTTCATCCTTTCATGGTTGGGGGACCTCTCTGCGTCCTGGTTTCCACATATGGAGATAATTCAACATCCCTCACAGGAGATTAATAATAATATGTGAGAATCAAATGAGAAAAAATATACCAAAAAACACCTCCTGGGCCCGGCTTATAAAAAGCGCCCAATGACCCTATGATTTAGCAATTTCACTACTAGCTATTTACCTAAATGACACAAAAATACGAATTCAAAGGGATTCATGCGCCCCGATGTTTATAGCAGCATTCCCTACAGTAGCCAAATTATGGAAAGTGTCATTGATAGATGAATGGATTAAGAAGACATGATGTGTGTATACACATACACACACACACACACACACACACACATATAATGGAGTATTACTCAGCCATAAAAAAGAATGAAGTCTTGCCATTTGCAACAACACAGATGATGGAGCTAGAGTGTATAACGCTAAGCAAACTAAGTCAGAGAAAGACAAATACCATATGATTTCACTCATGTAGAATTTAAGAAACAAAACAAATGAGCAAAGGGGAAAAAAGAGAGAGAGGCAAACCAAGAAAGAGACTCTTAACTACAGAGAACGAACTGCTGGTTACCAGAGGGAAGGGGGTGGGGGGAGGGGGGAAACAGGTGATGGGGATTAAGGAGGGCACTTGTGATGAGCACCTTGCATTGTATGGAAGTGTTGAATTACTATATTGTACATCTGCAACTAGCATTACACTGTATGTTAACTAACTGGAATTTAAATTAAACTTAAAATGAACTAGCACAGTGGCCACCACAAGTCCACCAAGGGGGGTAACTCTTTCCTGAAGGAAGTGAATCCGATTCCGAGAGACTCGGGTGTTGCTGGGACTTCCACAGCCCTCTGTCCGGCGGAGCGGCAACACCAAAGCCTTCTGTGCCCTGTGCCCGTGGATCCAGGCTGCACCCTCCCACCCCGTCCTGGGCTTCTCCTTCGTGGCACTTAACGGAAGTGTCTATTCTCTCACCTCTGTGTGCCCAGAGCCCGGCCAGCTCCTGGCCTGTAGCAGACGCTGCACAAATGCTCGTTGAAGAACTGGCCGGAGGGCTAGGCAGCAAGCTGGGCTTGTCAGGGTTGGGCTCGGTTACACACGGCCTTTCCCAGGCTCTAGGAAGCTTCTGTCTCAGAAATAAGCGGCCCGCGTCGAATTTAAGTGCCACCAACCCTCATCCCATGTGGTTAGCAGGTTCGGCCTGGGTGTCATTTCCTCCAGGAATTCTCTCAGGCCCTGTTCTCCCCACTTGTGTGTGTCCCCAGTGTCCTACAAATGCCATCTTAGCCCCTGTCACACGACTCTGTCATCGTCCTCCTCGTGGAAGATGGAGTGACTGAGGGAGCTGCACCCACGCGGGGAGAGATGGGGCAGCAGGAGGCCTTGGACCAGGCCTTTCCATGAGACAAGAAGGGGCTAGCTCTCTCCCTGACAGGGGGAGCTTGGTGCCTCAGATTCCTGGGGGAGTCTGCTTCTGCACTTTCTCATCTTAGTCCTTAATTGGGCCCCAACTCTGTTGCCAGCTAGCTCTGCCCTTGCTGAATGAAAACTGGGAACAATGAACAGCAATTCTAGGTGTCATGCAGACTTGCATCTGCTCTCAAGAGTGGAAGCAAATGTGCCAGACATCAGGACAAATTCACATACCCCTCCCCTGCTCAGCAGCATTTCAGGGCTCCCTGCTGCCTTCGAGGGAAGGTTCTAGACTATCTCTTTCCAACAGCCTCTCAGCTCCATCAGGACCAGTCTCCTCTCGTCATTCTCTGCTCATTCCTGACCTCTCTCCTTGGCTTCTACTGACAGGCCTTGGCACCCTTTGCATAGCTTTCTCGATTTTCCCCATTCCTGCCAACCTTTGAGGGAGCTCCCGCCCATGCTGACTGCCTGAGCTCAGCAGTTCCCAGCATGGACTCTCAGGGTTGTGCCTTCTGAGTCTTCAGCCAGATTGTAAGCCACCAGAGGGCAGGGGCTTGGCCCTTCATTCTAAGCTAAAGCTCTCTGCCCCTTGCCCGGTGTTGGGTACCTAACACTGCTGAAAATTATTTGCTAGCAGTGCCCTGTTTTGGTAAAAACATGAGATCCAGACTGTACTCTCCCACGTGACCTCTGTCTATTCAAATTTGATTTAATTACTCAACTTTACTTTGATAGAGGTCAGAAGTTTATTTGTATCTAGTGACAATTTTACAAATATAGCTTAATATCTATTTGTGTTGACTCAATATTCAATATTTACTTACGTTCCAGACATACTGTTCCCATTGTTTTCATAAAACCATTCAGACAAGTGACAAACAAGAAACCTCACAGCCTTACGGCCCCTGAGACACTTCTCTCTCTACTGTCAGGAAAGAGCTCATAACCCGGCTGGGAGCCCAGGTGAGGACACACCCGCAGCTGCATTGTGTTCTTCTTCTGCCATCGAATCCCCCACCCCAGACCAGAAGCCGGGGACACAGTGTGGTAGGTTATCCCCGAGAGGCAAGAGAACCGTTCACTCAGCACTTATTTACTGGGGCCCTTGTGTACATGAGGGGCACTCTGGGCACTGGGATAGAGCAGTGAACAAAACACTGTAGTGAAATAACAGTAATGATAATTCTAGCTGTTATTTATTATTTGTGATGCGCGAGGCAGTGTTACGTGCTTTCCATGGACTGTCCCATTTAACTCCTACACCATTCTCGTGAAGTCAGTGCTAAGATCACCCAGTTTTACAGGTGAGGAACCTGAGGCTCATAAAGGTTAAGGTACTGGTCCAAGTTTCCACAGTTAGTAATTTCATAAACTAACAAATCTAAATGACCATACCCTTCTTCACCCCTTCTCCCAGGATGTCTCCCCGCGGCTTCACATTTGAACCAAAAGATCAGAGGAGCTTGTTTTGACCTAACACAAGTATCTTATTAAATTATGATTCCTGTTGGAGGGGATGTCCCCCTGCAGATCCGAGTAATCGTGCTGTGATTGAGCATCTGCTCTGGTGACAGAGGTTCCGCAGGTCACCTTGGTCAACCTTGGGAAGGGAGCGCCCCCTTGAGGATATTCTCAGGAGGGTAGCCGTGGAGATCTGCGGGTGGAAAGGCAGGTAACTGGGATGTAATCAGACTGAGTCAAGCACCAGGAGCTGTACCCCAGGGATCCTGATAAAGAGCCCCCTTGCCTGAGCTCAGACACCCTGAATAGTGGGATGCTCCACACTCAATGATCTGCAGCCTGGTCAGGATCTGATCAGCAGCCAAGAACTGCTAACCCTTGCGCTCAGGCCGCCGGACTGGGCAGAACCATTTGCTAACAGTGCCACCGTGTGGCGAAAAGAAGCAATGGCAGTAGCTGATCGAAGAAATTCCAGGTCGGGACCTCATGAGTTTTAACCAACTTGCTGTTATAACTCCCTTTGGGAACTGTGTTTCCAGATCTTTTGGAAATCTAGGGGGACAGGAAGACACTCCCCGATGAAGAGTCACTCAGTTTTCTGTTAACATGCACGAATTCTCTTCCTGAGTTTGTGGATCAATTCGCATCACTTAAACTTTCATCATATACAGATACATAAAGTACGTATAATCAAGCATATTTTGTGATTTGTTTTGAACAGAAAATAGCACATTGTGTTAGTATCAGGCAACTCACTAGAGAGAAGTGTGGTTTGGAAGTCAGTATAGGAAGTCCCCCCACCCCCTCACTTCCCCCACCACCCACCCCACTCCTGCACACCTTAGCAGTGGTGGTGACTATTGACTGGGTCAAGTTCAACCAACCCATAGATTGTTTTAAGTAGCCACAAAATAGCACCCGTGGGCAACACTGTCCATGTTTCAAAGGGGCCTTGGCTCCTCTCTGGGGCTGAGGGCACTCCTTGCCCGTGGCATCCCCCCCCCCCCCCCCCCCCAGTTTTCCCCCCCCCCGTTTAATTTCACCCTGGCATGGCAGAGCAGATGTGCTTGGCGAGAGGCACCTGATATTCTTCCATGAAGCTCACTTCATGACGCAAGACACTGAGCTTCCCCTTTTAGGACCTCAATATGTTCACACCATATAGCTGCTTTGTTAAAGGCCAACTGTCATCAAGTTATTATACAAAGGACTCCATAACCCCGAATCCAACTTGCAACAGAGAGAGTCAGTTGCCAGTGGGGGTGTCCTGGGCTTCCTTCCCAAAGTGTTGCTGTTCCTAATTGTGCAGCATGTAGCATTTGCCCCACCAGTCTCAGCTACTTGTTGTCACATGCTGCCAGAGGCACTAATGTCACAACCCCCCGGGATGGCACATTATTATAACTCCTTGCTGATGGTGTCGTGAGCACTGCCTGCCGACCCCTGTCCCAGCCCTGCCCCAAGTGTCCAGTGGCTACTCAGCCCCATCTCCCCACTTTGCCTCCCGCTGTACTCTTGGTGGCCCACGGGCAGCCAGCAGGCGCTCTCCCCAGGGTACCTCCTGACACCGCCTCCCGACCAGGTTGTTAACTGGAAGGGAAAGAATGCCTGTCTTATACTTCATTTTTAAGACAATAGTATGTGCTCAATCAATGTTTGTTGATTGACACTGGGAATCCCTGGGGAGGGCTGAACCATCATTTATCAAACAAAGGGAGATGTGAACTTCCAACAGGCTGGACCACTTAAGGAGCAGGTAACCTACTTTTCTACCTTTGTAGCTTCTCTCACTGTCTTCACCGGGACTGGAGCCAGAGGGGGGAGTCTGAGGTCAGAAACTGGCTGGCATGGAATGCATGGCTTCAGCAGTGGCTTTGGGGGAAGTGAGTTCATGGTCTTCTGCTTCTCCTACCACTCTGAGAGATTCCTACAGTTGACAGATCCAAGATGGTGCTTTTCAACACCTGAATCGAGACTTCTTCCAGAGCCCTGCCACCCCCTGCTGCCAAAACCTGGGAGGATTTATAAGGAAACCAAGCACTCAAAATGACAGAGTGGGGGGCCTGGCTGACTCAGTCGGTGCAGCATGCAACTCTTGATCTCAGGGTCGTGAGTTTGAGCCCCACACTGGGTGTAGAGATTAGTTAAATTAAAAAAAAAATGTTTTTAAGGACAGAACTCATTGGCTTTGTGCTGTCATCTTGCACATCCCCCAGCCTCTAGCAAGGTGGTCAATAAAACTTTTCCCCAAAAGCTCCATGGTCAAATACTTTGAGAAAT